GCGCAGCCTCGGCGCTCGCACCCGCGCCGCCGGGCTCAGCCAAATCCAGGAAGGCCTGGCGCAGCAGGGCTGGGCTGTCACCAAGCGCGCAGCCGAGCGCAGAGGGAGGTTGCGGTGGGGGTTGTAGATAGGTGGGCACTGGAAGTCCGCCGGGGGTCCGCGGTGGCCAGAACATGCAAAAGGGCGGGTAGAAAGCGTCCTTGCGGCCGGCGGGCCAGAAAAGACCGGACAAACCGGCCTTGGGCGCTGCACCTGCGCTCCCCGCACCCGCTGCCCCCAAAGCCTCAGCCGCCGCGCCCGAGTCCTCCTTCTTGTGGCACAAGCCAAAGGCCGCGGCTGCGGCCGGAAAGGTGTAAGGATGAGGAAAAAGCCCCCCGCATCCCGGGAACTTCTGAAGCACGCCCCCAAATGAGCCCTTGCTAGGCACCGGGATGACCGGGTAGCTCCGCGGGCCTTTGGCGCCAGCTGCCCCGCCTGTCCCCGCGCCGGCGCCAACGCCAACGCCGGTCACACAGCCACCACCGGCGCCACCCCCGCCCGCCCCGGCGCCGCCAGAGGCCGCGGCCACCGAGAGACTGGCGGCCGCGGCCGAAAGGCTGGCTGCAGCCACGACGGCTGCCTCTTGCAGGGAATCTTCGTCGTCGTCGAAGCGCGGCCTCTTGTGATGGGCATGAGGAGCGCCAGCCAGTTCAGCCAGGGGTGGTGGCGGAGGCGGTGGGGGTGGAGCGCCCAGCAGGTGCGGGCCCAGCAGACCACCGCCTCCGGCCACTGCAGCCGCGGCTGCCACAGCGGCTGCCTTGACGGAGCTGAGAGGGTGGCAGGCTGGGTGAGCGCCGGGCTGAGGCAGCGCGCGCTTGCGGCTACCGCCATTGAACATGGCCTTCACATCCTCCCAGGCAAAGACTAGCTCGTCTTGGGGACTCTTGTCGGTGAGCTTGAGATGACGGCGCCAGGAATTGAAGTTGGCTGCGTCTGGCTGCGTGTACTTAGCGTCCGGTGTGCGGTGGGAGTGGAAAATAAACTTGTTGGGTGAGAAGTACATGTTACAGTAGCTGCATTTGATGCACTTGGCGCGCGAGCTATTGTAGCGCGCGGGGATGAAGCTGCCTCTGCAACCCCAAGCGCACTCGTGCGACACGTCGAAGGCGAAGTTGTCGGGCAGCTTGGGTGGCCTGTTTTCACCCAGAAATGACTTGCATAGACGCTCGGCTTCGCGCTTGGTGATCATGCCGCAGCGACGCGATGAGATGGGCATGGCCCCTGCGCGCCGAAGGATCTCTAGCTGCACCGGCGTGCACTGCACGCACGTGATGCCCAGCGCCACGCGGCGGTTGTGGATCTCGTTGTAGCTGAAGTTTTTGAGAAGGGTGTTGGAGATCTGCGCCAGGCACAGGCGCTCCTGCCCATCGATCACCAACGACACGATGGGAATGCCGTAGAGGATCACCTGGCCCACCTGGTTGGGTTTGAGGTTGGCGTGGCCTGGCCGCGGCTGGCTCAGTGCGTCGGGCTGGAAGGCGCTGGACGGGGACGCCAGCAAGATGTCGTTGGGCCCCGGCAGCGGGCTGGAAGCCATCTCCTCCGCCGTGGAACCCTGGGCCGAGCCCTCCCGGCTTGCCTTGAAGACTGGAAGGGAAAGGAGAAAAGGTTGTTTTGAGACCTTTCGTTCTAAACCAGAGGCGTGGGGTGCATCACTTACTGAAAAATTACTGTTAAGACATAATTATTACTAGGCAAGGGACCAAGTTTCAGACACAGGAAAATCATCTTTTTTAATTTCCTTCAAGGTCGCCCTTTATTAAATGTAGTTATTTGGAGGTAGCAATTTTTCTACTGCCCCCCGCCCCCCCACACACACACTAAAGCAGTCAGTTCCTAAGAAACTCAAGACCTTATCCCGGATTTATGGAAGCAGTTGGAATAAAATGACTTGCCTGCTAGAAATGAGAAAGTAATGACAATTGTAACTAGTACAGATTATAAAAGTTATGAAACTGAGGCTTGATCGTTAAAACCTAAATTTAAAGAGAGAGACCATTCACATTTGCTTGAAAATGAATTGATTTTGGTTAAAAAGAATTAAACCCAAACCTTTTTAAAAGTGATTTTTGTGGTGTTTGTGGTTTCCTTGGGGAAATTCACTACTGGTTGAAATACAGCTCATTTAAGCAAAAACGAAATCCCTTTTACCCAATCCTTGCCATTAGATATTTAGCTACTGTAATTAGAATGTGGGGTGAGGAGTGGGGGAAGAAAGGTGGAAAAATGTACAAAGCCATTCTCATTATCACTAGAATAGAGTGTTTCACTTTCATTTTTTCCCCAAAAAATCCTGTTTGTTGAACTAATTGAGTGGTTCTGGTTCTAGACAGGTAGCTTTAAAAGATGAAGTTGAAGATCTGTAAACATTTAAACTGTTTTCCTCTCATTCCATAACAAGGAGCAAGTAACTTCAGGCCAGCGTGTTAAACCAAGGCTCTGTGCAAAGAAACGGTTCTGGGCATCTTTATTGGTTAAATTTAAAAGGCAAATTCAGTTCAAAGCTAACTACCGTCTGTGACATTTTTTTCCCCTCATCTATGTTGATGGCTCTATATCTTTAGGGGGAATTTAGGTGCCCCACAGTAAAGATAATCCCTAGAGTAGGTAATCATGGGAGCTTTGAAAAATGGAAGCCTGAGATTAAGTATGAGATAAAATTCCTAATTTCATCTCAGGTCAACAGAATGCCACAATGGGGGAACATATCCCATAAGTTGAAAATATAGAAAAAGCAGGTGAAAGAAAAATTTGTGACATTGATGTTAAGTAAAAACAGGCTAAATGGCATTCCATAGGAAAACAGTGACCTTTCCAGTGCTAATTGTCCAGTGCGTAGGCCAAAAACTACCCTTTGCCCTGGAAAATCATCAGTGAAGGTAGCATGACCACTCTTGACCAAGTACATTGGATTTTGTTATTACAGCTATTTCAGAGGATACACTGTCATACAAATTGTCACACTCCGTGCTCCTTCATGGGCTCCTATGACATCTATACTGCTGCCTTTGCTCTGCTGCCCTGGGGATCCTCAGCTCTCATTACATTCTGTGGCCTCCAGGAAGGCCGAACAAACCTCGTCGCGATCAAACGGGAAGAGAGCCTGACTTGTCACTTTGGTTGGATCAGAGACAATATTGCTAGGGGGCAGGGCGTTAAATGGCAGTTCAAGGCACAGTGATACCTGAGCCTGATAAAACCAGCCCCAGCTTCGCCAAATGGCCCTTCAGTGCTCATTTCCCTCCCAAACAAGAGTCCTATTATTTCAGTAAGACCTGGGGATACCTCAAACTCTCACTCCCCAGAAAGGCTCACAGCCGGCGACCAGGCGGAGAGCTGGCTTTTAGTTAGGGACCCGCACACTTATCAGCCAGGGCAGAAGTGTCTCCTCCAGAGTGTCTTGCACTCTCACCCCAAAGTGCTCTCAAAAACTCCCGACAGAACAGAGACTCACATAAGAAGTTTCGGGTTGGGGATATTTTAAGGCTTGGGAGAAGAGACATTAAAAGTTACTTGAACTGAGATAGGACCAGCGAACTTCCCTATCCAGCTCACGAGCCACCGACCCCCAGCTTAATTCTCCTGGCTCCAAACCCATCCCCATAGAAGCCGGCGGCTGTCCCTCAACCTAACGCGGAAAATTCCACGGCTGGGGATCTCAAATGGAGAACCGCGAACTGTGTGCCGAGTCAGGGCCGGCGGGTTCAGGCAGTACCTGGTCACCCCTAGAAGTCTTTAGGCGCGTGGCTGCCGGCCCATCTTCCGAGGGCGCTCGGAGGCGAAGCATCCAAGCGGGTCCTCGAATCCAGCGGGCGGGACTCCGGCGGGCTCCGCTCGAAGATCCAGGCGCTGGTGCGAGCTAACGGCTCTGGAACCCCGGGTCTGGGAGGATGAAGGCCTGAACTGCAGCGAGGTGTCCCCTCGACCGCAAAAAGTGAGGGCGCGGAAACCTGCGGCAAGCGAGCCCCAAGTGGAGCGCAGTCTGACAGCGCCTTTCTCTGTCTCTGAACTCGTGTCGGACCGAGGGGACGCCACCCAGCGGGCAGGGTGACGTCACCGTCTCCCTGACACTCCACATTAAAGGGCTGGCATGTTACAGGGAGGGAGGGGGAGAGTGAAAGCGAGAGAGAGCAACATAGAGATCCTTTCTTATGCAGGCACGAAAGATACCACCTCACCAACTCGCAATTGACGACAACCTCCCCAACCCCATAGCAAAGCGCCGCAATGGGGCTGGATCGGCAGATCTGATTTAGGAGTGGAAAGCTGAAGGGTCTGCATGCATCCTGGGGACGTGGCTCCTGGAGGCCCTGGATTCTATAAGAACACCTCCAAATCAGCTGTATGCCTGACCGTTATTGGCCCCTTCTCATTTCTCCGAGTCACTCTCCTTCATGAATGATTTCTCTGGTATATGGTGCAAACAAGTAACCTCTCCTGAAGATACAGAATCTGGGCGAATAGATTAGTTTTACTGCTTCCTTTGAAACACTGTGAAATGAGAAAAAGGAAAGAAGTTTCCACATAGTTGCCAGATCTGAAACTTGGAAGGAAGCATGAACAGTGTTCCCCACTTTTGCATATACATTTGCTTTATAGGGGAAGATACAAAGAATCATACAGCTTTCTCTGTTTTATATACTGTGTACATTTGGGTGAGGACCCCAGTGCATGCATGTGTACATTCATCCTTTAACTTTGCTTGGAATAGTTCTATAACCCATTTTCTAAGTTCTATGCAGGCTACCTGAGCACAAGGAAAAGGTGGAGTGGAAAGTCAGGGAGGTCCCCAACACTTGCTGGTCCCTGAACAATTGTCAATTCCATTGAAAAGAAAATTTTCTAAGAATCATATGCATCTCCCTCCCCTACAAAAGGGGACAACTAGGATGAGAAAGAACCTTTTACCATAGCTCCCCAAAGTGAGGCACACCCTAGGATATTAATGAAGTGTTGAACCTTACCTCCTAACTGACCAGTTCTTAGGAGTTGAACAACCACTGGTTAAAAGGAAAGAAGCTATTTATTTGAAGGACACTCTAAGAAGTTTACCTTCTGAGATGGGGTAGGGAATCCTTTAAGGTCTTCCTTTACTACCAGAGCTGAATTTTCAATTACTGCCAGATGAAAACACTGGGCAATTACATTGTAGAAATGATGGAACAAACTCCACTAAGCCCAAACCAGACTTGGTCATAGCATCAATATACCTCTGCTAAATACGAAAGTGTGAAATCTTAGCACTTAATAAAGCCAACTCAACAGAAATGTGAGGGGCATGTTGCTCAGGAGTTGCAGCTTTTAAAAATTAATATCCTGAAAATATTGTTTCAGAGTCATGAAAATTATAATGTTTGTTTGGGCAGAAGTTTCAACAGCAGTGGAATAATTTTGTACTTATCTCCTAGTTTCTAAAGGCATTAATTAGGCACAAATTAGGCTTTGTCCTAAGCAGCTGAAATCAACCCATCTCTCCCTCACCAATGCCCCTAAGGCTCCCATCTTAAAGGAAAGAAAATGTGTTTTCTGCCTGCCCAGCCCATTCCCTAAAAGAGCACCATTATCCTCCTCAAATCCCTTCCTCAGAAAGACTAAAGGCCTGGTGCACTCTTCTGAAGGCTCCAGAGCCAAACCTGGTTCTTCCTCCTTCTCTGCCTCCTCTTTGGGGTCAGGAACTCTCACAAAGGGAATTTATGGCTTGCTCACTATTCCCAGAGCTCAGGCTGCTAGAAAGAAAGCTTGAGTCTGGAAAGAAAGCCTGGAAGTGGGACAGGTTTTAAGACTGAAAATAGGGAGGAATGAACAATCCTATCCCCTTACTAACACCACAGGGAAATGTCTGGGCATTCTGGAAGGAAGCACTGTGTGTTTTTGTGGAGGGGGCTTCTTCTTCTTCTTCTTCTTCTTCTTCTTCTTCTTCTTCTTCTTCTTCTTCTTCTTCTTCTTCTTCTTCTTCTTCATTACATAGCTCCCATTTTACCCAAAAGGCTTCCTTCTCCTCCCCTAACACATCCTGACTTAAAACAAAAACACCAAAACAAACCACCATCTTCAGAAATATCTTTCTTTGAAAAGAAAAATGGGCCAAATCTCTGCCTTTCTTCCCATCCCAGGTTACTCTGAGGAATGAATCCACACCTGGGTGACACATGTAGTGACCTCCTAACCTAAATCTTTAAGCATAAACATTTATACAGTACTCTGGGGACTTATTGGATAGAAGCCTGTAACTTTATTTTAACACAAAACAAGTTTCATAGGAAACAGAAACGTGGAGTATTAAGCAAAAATACATTTGCACAAATAATTGTAAGAATAGTGCAGTGTTTTATTATCCCCAATGGGCCTAGGGGCCTGTTTAAAAAGTCAGGTCAATTATATTTTTGGAAGGTGAATGTGGAGAACAGTTGTTCACAGCAGAGCCCTGGAGAATCCTCATCTAGACACCGAATTGGAATGTGAAGTTGTTTGTATGTTTGAAATCTGTGAGCAACTCTCTGCCATCCACTGTCTCTTTGACCCTTTGCTTTCTTTACAGTTTGAACAAATCTCTTGCTGGCCCTCCTTAGGGTTCTTGTTAGTCCCTGCCCTGGCCCCTGGGACCCTGGCAGGCTCAGGGAAGAGTCCGTGATGGCGGGAGGAGGCTGTTCGGGGGCCGAGTTAATCAATGTTTTCCTATTCGAGCTGACATGCCTTTTACACGTCGGGACTCTCTTCAGCCGGCTAATTGATTCAAATTGTTTTATTGGTTAAACTGGTGTCACCCGTTTGCATGATCTATCACCGCACGAAAGAGAGTATTTCCATTCCCATCTCTCTTCCGGGTGGCTGCGGTTCACCCAGGCCAAGGACAGGTAGAGGAGCCCAGACGCCGGACCCAAAGGAAAACCACAAACCCAGCTGATCCCCCTCGGAACTGAAGAGGCGACGCCTAGAGTGCAAGCGCACGCGGCCGGTATGGCAGCGCAGATGGAGGATTACAGTCACGGCTATTAACATAGTTGAAGTGAACCCCAAACCCTGCAGGGACCAGGGCCCAACATCCTCGGTTTTGGAAGCAGTTTAACGGGCTGCGGACCCTGAGGGATGAGTGACCAACGTCAAAGCCAAGGCAGGAGCTGTCCGTGGTGCTGACGCGATGCGTCGCTCCAAGGCATAGCAGATCCTGGAAAAAGCCTCCCAGCCTGTAACCATGGGAGCCCTAGATTAGGCTTTGGGCTGGGGCATGGTCTGGTAGGCTTAAGGTACAGGTAATGGGTATCTACTTCTGTAACATCTGCCACATATCCAAGGACTTAGAAATGCAGCCTTCCCACAAACCCACCCCCTTCCTTGCATTGACAGCAAGGAAGATAAAGGCCTTAATATAAATTCATTACAATCAGAAACGCAAGATATTATTTCCTCTCCTCTCCTCCCACTCCCAGCCTGCTGAGAAACCCATGGCAGCTACAGATCCAAGAACAACCCTCTATCCCTCTCTCCCATTTCCTATCACCACATTCTCACTTGCAGGCAGAAATACTACTCTTCTGTGTCCTTGCCAGAAGTGCAGATATTGGTATTTCTGCATTAGATAGGGCAAAAAATAGTCTGTCTGTTAGTCCAAGGTTTGCACAAGGAGACCCAAATGGCCCAGAAAGAAAATGGAAGAGTGCAGAAGTGGAGAACAGAAGAATTCTGACATATCAGACAGTACAGGGGATTCAGAGTCAGATGAAACTGGGTCCACATTTCTCCTCAATCACATACTAGCTGGGGAATCTTGTAACTAGACTTCCCAAGCCTTCTCAGAGTCTTCATCTTCAAGACAAGGAAATTGAAGGTAGCCTACAGGGGTGCAGCAAGAATTAAATAATATCATATATGTGAAGTGCTTGGCATAAAGTAGTTAAAAGCACCTTCCTTAGAGAATGGGGACAAGAGCCAGGCCTGTCCTGTTATATGTCTGATTTTTTTTTTTTCTAGAATAAAAGACACCAAAGCATTTTACCTAAGTGATGAGCAGAGGAGGAACCAAGGTCCCTGGAGGAACATTAGTTCTTTTCATTAAAATTTTATCCTACCTCTAATTGGTCTTGTGTTTATTTTACATACAGGTGGCCAGAACCCCAGCTACTACTTGTTTAATTCATTTTAAGGAAGTTCGCAATAACAATTACCAATGATAATCATTGATAACTCTTAGTTCTGATTTTCTATCACCAAAAGCTTTTCTGCAGCCTGGGGAGCCCAGGTCAGATACCCTGGTTTTGGCTCCATTGCCTCAGCTGGAGTTGCATGAGGAAAACCAAGGACAAGAAGTAAACCAGAGACTCATCTATGATGGAAATCATAGGAGAATGAGGAGGGCCTCTGCGGATTCTAGAGCTGACTCAATCTTTGAGCTTTCTCTACAATATTGTCTATAAACGAGGCCCCTTCTCCCTGGGGTCAGAGATGCCTGAGAGAAACACAATAAGAATCTACACCGAAATCTAAATCAGAATTGTAAAAAGAAAGGAAAGAGAAAAATGAATACATGGTGCAGGACCTGTTTCCCTGCCCCCATGACCCTTAGACTTCCAATGACTGTGGGAATCAATGAGTTCTTCTTATACTTCAAACAAGCACTTTTGTAAGAAATAGAACTGTGGAAGGAGAAATCAAGACTTAAATTCCCTTAATCAGAGGAAAGCATTCTCATAAGAAAACTTGCATTTTAGGGCTGGGTGTGGTGACGAATGCTTGAAAATCCTTGGAAGCTGAGGCAGGAGGATTGCAAGTTCAAATCCAGTCTTAGCAACTAAGGGAAGCCTTAAACAACTCTTATTGTTTCAAAATAAAAAATAAAAGTGTGGAGTTGTAGCTCAGTGGTTAAGTACCCCTGGGTTCAATCCCCAGTGCCAAATAAACAAACAAAAAACCCAAAAGCAAAACCAAACAAAACACGTTGCATTTTGGGTAAGTGATAGAGAAGGCTTTTACCTTACTAGTGCACAGAAACTAGGGACTAATCCCAACGTTTGCTGTTGTACTTTCTTTTTCAGTAAAGAGAACCTATATTTCCTCATAAATCCTCACAAACCTGCAAGTACAGAAAGGCACATGTGTGTTCAAATAGTTTACATGAAGTAATGAAATACAGAATGGAATATAAACTTAGTGTACGTGGTGGTCACTTAGCAAATGTTACTTGAT